CCTTAATGATTTCAATTTAAATTTCAATTTGAAGTTATGAAAATTTCATTTATGAACTGAATTGGATTTTATAATTGTTGTAATATACTTCAATTTATGCAAAATTTCCATTGAAAATACATTAGTGAATTGTCGAATGACATTCTGCAACATTAATAAAACTAATAAATAGAAATTTAAATAAATAAAATATATTTGTATCTAAATGACACTTAATTTTTGATGATATTATTAAATTGATAACATTAATAAAACTAATAAATAGAATTTAAATAAATAAAATATATATATTTAAATGATAAACAATTTTTGATGATATTATTAAATTGATAACATTAATAAAACTAATAAATAGAATTTTAAATAAATAAAATATATATATTTAAATGATAAACAATTTTTGATGATATTATTAAATTGATAACATTAATAAAACTAATAAATAGAAATTTAAATAAATAAAATATATATATTTAAATGATAAACAATTTTTGATGATATTATTAAATTGATTGTTTTTCTATTTCTTTTTTTTTTCTTGTATTATTTTAAATGTAATAATTAAAAATGTCATTTAAAAAAAAAAAAAAAAAAAGAATTTTTTTTGAAAAAAGAAACGAAAAGTATAAATTTTTGGTATATGTTATCAAAGAAATTAAATGGAAATTCATCGTTTCATTACTTCGTTTTTTCGTTTTTTTCTTTTCGGAACAATTGTACTTTTCATAGACCGAAAAAAAAAAAGAAAAAAGAATGAAAAATTGTAAATTATTATTTGTTTAAAATTTAATTCTTTAAAACTAATTCAAATTTCTAAAAATTTTCAAATAATTTTGTGAATTTACAAGAGAAAAGGCTATGTAATATAAACAAAGAGGAAAAGAAAGTTTTTTTTTTTTTGAAATTTTAAATTTATTAATGAAATTTTGTTATCATCAAATAATTGCATGGATTTTTTGCATTTAATATTGTTTTGCAAATAATTTTGATTATTTGTTAGGATGTATAATTTATAAAAAATTTATCTAATTTCTTAAATTTTCTCTTTAATTTTTAAAATCATAGAAGAGAAAAAAAAAAAAGAAAAATCACAATTCGTATAAAAAAAAAGAAAGTTATTTTTCAAATTATACTTTTCAAAATTATCACAAAATGATTTTATCAGCTAAGTTTAATTTAAAATAAATGATTTTCTTTAAAAACTTACAAATTTAATGATTTCCTTAAATTTAATAAATTTGACTTGTATAGTTTCGAGTATTATTCAATTTAAATAAACTTAGCTGATAAAATAATACGTAAGTATTCTACCACGTACGTACGACATTATCACGTATAATATCACTATCATAATTATAATCTTTTGCATCCTTATCTATTATCTTAGACTGATAATTTTTTCTCTACTATTTTGAAAAAATACCTTTAGTGATAATTACTGATAACATAACAATATGGATAACTTATTTTATTTTATATTCATTTCAAAATTTAAATTTGCTCCAACTGAAAAAATTTAATTACAAGAAGAAAATAAAAGATAGATTAGACAAATAGATTAGATAGATAGATCGATCGATCGATCGATTGATTGATTGATCGATTGATCGATCGATGCGAATTATGCAATTGTTAGAATTCAAACAGTTTAATTTTATATATTCATCGATTTATGATACTTTTTGACCTTTTGTTTTTCAATTTTTGAAATTAATAAAATGACTAAAATGTTTAATGTGTAATTTTTTATAAGAAATGTTCTCTCTCTTCAATTATATTTTCTTTTATTTTTTTCTTTTTTTGTTTTTTTTTTTTCTTCAAAATTAAATTTTTGGCAAAGCAAAAATTTTTGTAAAATAAAAGTTCAATTCTATTATTTATGAAAAGACTAGAATGAATAACATTGAGAAATAGATGAATCGATTAAATTTCATAGAAATTAAATTTCATACATTCATTTTAATCATTAGAAATACAATGTGAAAAAAAAAAAAAATGTCATTAAGAAATGAAATGAATTAGTTTGAAAAATTATTTCAAAAAAAAAAAAAAAAAAAAACAATAAAATAAAATTTTGCACTCAAAAATTTTTTCATTTCATAAATTTCATTAATGCAATCTGCAAAAAAAATAAAAAATGGTAAAATTTTTCATTCAAATTATTTAAATTATCAAAAATATTTTAATACTATTATATGAATAATTGAGTAATACTAAAGAATAATTTATTTTATTCCTTTTTTTTTTTTTTAAGCTAAAAATGAAAGATTAAAGATAATAAAGTTTAAATTAAATTATTTTCTTCTGTCTACAATAAAATGTTTTTGAGAATGAAATATTATAAGTAAGAAATGAACTAAAATATGATAAATAGTTTAGCTATGAATGAATAAAATTTGTTTAAATAATCAAAGGTAGTGATAAAATTTTATCAATTGATCGATTATCATTTCTCTCTACAAATTTATCACTATCAAAATATTATCACATCGTTTATCTCATCGAAAAATCTTTTTCAATAATTTCACTACAACAACTACACCTATGCATGTATCGGTTTTATTCAAAACAAATATCATTTAAGACTGCATTGACATATTTTTGTTGTCCTATATTTAATTTTAATTTAATTCTAAATAAAATTTATTGATTTTAATTTAGAAATTAAAATTATTGATTAAATTAGTTTTTCAAACGTTTTACTATATAATCAACAAGAAGAGTTAGACATACTACAGAAGATATATGTGCAGTCGAGAATCAAAAATTGAATTCAAAAGATTTATGTTTAGTCGAGAAATAAAAATTGAATTCAATTTTTTGCTTTTTTCTTGTTTAACTTGGAGCAATTTTTGCAATGAAAATTTTTATGTTAATTGTTAAGATAATTAATTACAGAATTGTAAAATGTATTTAATTGCAAATAAATTATTTACAAATAAATAAATTTAATTTATTTATAGGAATTAACACATACCTGAAATTGTGTCATCTTATAAAGATAAGAAATTAGATAGAAATCATTTCATTGTGACACAAAGTATTCAAATAATTCATTTTTTTTTTTTTCTGTTCAGAAATATCGAATCTTTTTTCTTAAAGTGATAATTTTATAAGAATTATATCAGTCGTTATCAGTCGAAAAAAAATCTGCTAGATATAATCTTTATTCATTCACTTCATTTTCATTTTCCAAAAATTCCAAAAATTTTTTATACTTATTCATTTTCACTTTCCAAAATATCGAATCTTTTCTTAAAGTGATAATCAAAGTGATAACTTTGATTACTACTAAAAATCATTTGATAATTTGTAATAAAAGTATGAATGTATTTTAATTTTGTTATGCAAAATAGTTAAATAATGAAATATTACTGCCACTGACTTTGCTACAATTTGTGATAAATTAAATTCAATAAACTTTACATTTGATTAACATCTGATTAATAATTTAATATCTGATTAATTTTTAATTTTAAACTTACAATTTAATTAATTTAGAAAAAAAGAAATAATATTATTTTATTATATAATATTTGATTAGATTAAATCATTTGTAGATTTGAATTTATTGCAATGATACTACACGATGGATACGTTGTAAAACGTGAAGTATAACGTGAAATATAACGTGAAATATTAGGAACACCTGCTAGTCATTCTCGTTTTTATTTTCTCTTAAATTGTTCGCTGCATTGTTGTAGTATAGAATACATTCAGAAATTTTCACGTAAAAAAACGTTTCACGTAATAAACATAATAAATGCATCATTGAACTATTAGCAATATTATTGTCGTCCACTTCTTATACGACTCCTTCCTTATCTTATCAGTAGATATCTAATCATATCAAGCATAAAGTGATCGGTTCCTCAACTAATTCTGAAAATTGCCTCCTCCAATCATTCATCTTGTCATCTTAAGCTTTTCCGCGCTGGGAAAGTGAAAAGAGAAAAAGCAATAAATAAATAAATAAGCAAGTAAACAAATAATTAAATGAGTAAATAAATAAACAAATAAATAGATGAATGTCAATGAACAAATGAACAAATAAATTTCCGAATAAAAAAATTTTAATATTTGTTAGTAAGTTTAACTCTCGATTGCATATTAGCCATTACATTAATATTTCAGTTTTCGATACATTTTTTAATCTTTTTGAACAGCAAACATTTCTAACACTTTGAATTATCAATTCATTTAATTAGTGCGCACAGTACGTTTTATTTTTTTGAAATTTATTTTCGTCAACCAATTTTGAACAGAATTATTTGCAGTAGCAATTATGATTGTGTTACACTTCAATTCTTTTAATAATTTTTTTAATAGGCTATTTTAATTTGTAATTATAGAAATGGTTACAGTTTATTTGCATATTTTTGTTGTTGTTTCACTTTTAATTGAACAAACTGATCAGATAGAATTATTTATTTTCAAAAAAGATTCATCCAAAAAATAACCAACGACAGTATAAACACTTTAATGTTGACCTATCTCCTATCATTATCATATCAACAAAATATTGTCCTTATGCCTAATGTTCATGAATACAACTTTTTTTTGCTTTTACAATTAAATAAAAAGAACAAGAAAGAATGTAAGTAGCATGCTGTACAATAAAAAAAAAACAAGACTGGGATCAAGGAACTACAGTTTAATCTAAGCAGCAATCAATCAATAATAGATGACAATTGAGGGGCTTAAAATTAAAATCCTACATTCCGCGACACATAATAAATCATTTTTGTTCTTCTGATAAATCAAAATACTCAATCAAATAGTAAACAGAATAGTTTAAGTTCAATCAAATTATAAATAGGATTACATAATATTTCGCTTCCTCTCACGAAAGAAAGAAAAAAAAAAAAAAAAAAAAACAACTTGAGAAAATTATAAATTACATAAAATTGCATCAGTGATAATATGGTGACTATTGTTCAAAATTGCTTATGAATTAATAAAATATATCATTAATATAATAAGTGGACAAAATTTAACGATTAAACAGGTTCACGTAACCTTTTTAGACGTGCTACAATTGAATCATCTTCATTACTAGTTTTAGCAGGACCAGCTGTAGAGAGTTCTTCTGATGGCATATCTGGCAAATCCTTAATCATTGAATCTATCTCACTATTGTCACTAGCAAGTATAGCATTTAATTCAGCTTCAAGATCTTTATTAATTTCACTGGCAGCTAATGTTGGCACACCAGCAGCAATAGCATCTTGAATTTCCTCAGCAGCTGCCATAGCATCATCAATATCATCCATAGTTTCATCAATCTATAACAAATAAAAACAAAAAAAAAATTGAGCAAATAAAGAAATAATATCCTAAAGTATTAGGTAAAAAAAAAAAAAAAATGGAAGCAAAGAATAGAAAATAAATTAAAGAATGATATTATGTAATAAAAGTCAACTGAAATGAATTGAAAATAACAAGAGAATTAATTTAAAAAATATACCTTTTCTGGAGAAATACCTTGCCTTTGCAAAGTAGCTTTAAAAGCATTAGCACCAGCTTTGTATACATCCAAAATTTGTTTATTTTGCTTTGTTCGTCCTAATTGTTGCATCATTTCCAAAAGCCTTTGATATTGATTGTCTTTTGATTCAATTTCTTTTAGAGCTCGCTTCTTTTGACGTAAATATTGCGCAGCATGATTCTTATCACCTTGACGTATGTATAGACGAGCATCTTGTTCAGCTCTGAAAAAAAAAAGAAGAGAAAAAGAAATTATTAAAGACAACCAATTTGACATAAAAAAAAAAAAATATTCATAATAAATAAAAATAATGAAACAATAACTTTTCAGATTATTAAAAATAATTTACTTCTTTGCTTTTATTTCCAAACGTTTAATTTCATGTTCTAGTTTGCTCATTGCTCGCCTCATATCATGAACACTAGCATCAGATTCTGTCCACTTGATAGGACCATGAGCAGCATTGTCACGAAATTTCAAAATCTCCTCACCTATTTTAGATGAACCTATTGTTACCTGCAAGTAAACTTACGATTACAAAAAACAGCCAAATAAAGAAAATGATAAACTAGATGAATTATCGATCACATACGGAAAATTTCAACAAATCACAGCAAATTTCTAGAAGCTATTCATTCAAAAACAGAAGCAATAAATTGCACGATCAAAATAAAGTTAAAAATAAAGCATTTTTTTTTGTGATGGACAATAATTGCCATTTTATGACATAAAATGAAAAAAAAAAAAAAAAAAAGAAGATCCATAATAACAAACTTCGCCTCGATTAACAAGTTCTGCTAGTGTAACATCATAAGTTTTCTTGTTAGCAACTAAATGTTTACATTCTTCAAAAAATTCTGCCGAATCAACGATTTCCGGTAGCATATCATCATCAACAGCATATTCACTTCGGAAAAATTCCAACATATTGTCAGCATGTTTCTGGAAAATTTTCACAATGCTTGGAAAAAATTTTCAAATGTTACAACTATCCAATTTATATAGATGTAATTGAAAAGGACTAAGTAAAGTTAATAATAAAAAGAGATATTACTTTAACAGTTGGAAGATGAACATATTCTGTCTGATTATCATTGGTAGCACCCCACAAACTTCCCATGAATGATTTGTATCCTCGCTGAAGCCAATTCTGATTTCGGGTTTTGTAATCATCCAAAGTGGTAATTTCACCTGTACTGAAAAAAAAAAATACTTGCTTTATCATATATCAAATTTTAGCAATTAGAATCGATCATTGCAGTGTAATTTTGATAACAGTGATTATCGATTACAATCTATTACAGTGTTCTAAAAAATTTTAAATTATTTGTCAAATTTATCTGTTTTATTTACATCCTCTAAGAAAAATTTGCGGATATTTCAAGAATCATCTGTCATCTTAATAAGTATATAAAGACGACAATGTAATCAATGTATTAATAACAAGGCACAATAGAGGTATAGCTGTTTAATCAGTGATGTCAATATCATTTGTGAAAAAAGATGTGATTTGTTAAAAGTTATTTCGAATTTTAAATGTGCCAATTTAGCAGCAACGCTGCACTGCGAAAAGTTTTCATATCTATAACGAATCCATCCACTTAGCAAAATTATCATTGAAAAACATAATATATATATATATATGTAATATATTAAAATTTCAATCATATGAAAAGCTTACTCAAGCATATGTTGAATAATAACATTAAGCGAACCCGGTAGCTGGTCACCTCGACGAAAGCGCCGTTTCAATATATCGATAGTAAAAATTGCATTTCTCTCACTATCACATGATTTTGCAATCATATCGGACCAAAATTCGATTTTTCGATCATAATCATTTGGATTCACATCTCGTGCCTGAATAAAAAAAGAAAAAAAAAATTGACATATATAATGACGAAACAATGTGAAATACATTTATTCCGGATTTCTTGTAACAGTTTTCCATTACCTACGTTTGTCAGATTCACAGTGTTAAAGCATAAACTTGTTAAAATGTTGAAAGTTCGGATAATTTATGTTAAAGCAAACTTGTTACATTGGATTGATTGTCAATTAGAATATTTACCAAAATTACTGATAAACGGAAAATTGAAAATGTGTTATACCTTTATCATGGACATAAGCCCAGACATCTGCTCGTCGTCTGCCCATACTTCTGGGAATTTGCTGCCCATTACATTCAGAAGTATCTGCAGAAAAGCAAATGAAAACATTAAAAAATGATTAATACCATCAATAACGCTTAGTGATAAATCGTTCCTCTAAATTATGCTACGAACGAATACTATTCTATAGCAACAAATAATAAGTAAAGAATTATAAGAAATAAGCAAATCGACAAACATATATATATATATATGTTTTTTGAGCGTAATTATGAATTACAGTTCTGACACGAAAAATAATTAACATTACAGTTAATAAACAATGAGACATACGTTTACGAGTCATCACAATTTTACAACGACTAAATACAGTCAAATGATATGCAAAAAAAGAAGAGAAAAATATCAGATAATTCTCAGATAACATTTATGTTTACTAAGCATACAAAATATTAATGCTTTGGACTAATCAAAAAATTTCCCTTTCTTTCATTTCATACTTTCAAAATCATCATAAAATCTCTTCATTGAGACAGTAACATCGTACGGCAATAAAATTCAATTAGATAAATTCACTGTAAAACTAATGAAACAATTACATTAGTAATTATCGTTACTTTAAGAAACTGCACTGTCATCAAAATCACAAATAACGAAATCTCTCGAAATCTTGAAAATATTTCTCAAGCTTTTTTTTTTTCGACCCGCCGATAATGAATTATGTAAAGCAATACTTAATACCGTCTCGTTCCGTCTATCTCGAAATTCTTTCAGATCACTTCTAGAATTTCTAAATTGTATTGCATATTTGCAGATATTCCCCATCAATTTCCTACATGAAACACCACATGTACGAATGAAGCTAATATCGTAATATCACCACGTACGAATGAAGCTAACATCGTAAATATCATCACGTACGAATGAAGCTAACATCGTAAATATCATCACGTACGAATGAAGCTAACATCACAGCATCATCATGTACAGACGAAGCTGACAATATAACATTATCACGTACGAATGAAGCTAACAACATAACATTATCACGTACGAATGAAGCTAACAACATAACATTATCACGTACGAATGAAGCTAACAACATAACATTATCACGTACGAATGAAGCTAACAACATAACATTATCACGTACGAATGAAGCTAACAACATAACATTATCACGTACGAATGAAGCTAACAACATAACATTATCACGTACGAATGAAGCTAACAACATAACATTATCACGTACGAATGAAGCTAACAACATAACATTATCACGTACGAATGAAGCTAACAACATAACATTATCACGTACGAATGAAGCTAACATAACATTATCGACACTTACGAATGCGGCTAATAATACAACATCATTACTACGTATAAACGATCATCAACACGTACGAATTATACGACTACGAACGTAGTAAATACCGTATGCAAAATATCACTGCGATGAGCAAACATTCCTTTCAAAACTTAATTAAAAGTATTCAAATTAAAAATGTGTTAAAGAAATGAAACAATAGTGAATGACTACTTGTATAAGCAAATAATAAGTGTAAATTTAAGTTTGTACGAAAAACATTTTAAAAATTAAAAAAAAAAAAAAACTTAACATTTATAATTTTACTTAAATAATTATTTTTAAGATTATTGATTACAAATATTAATTACAATTAATTCAGTTTACCCAATCTCTTAATTATTAATTATTTCTTACTTCCATTACTTTTACAACAAAAGTATTTATCAAAATGTCATAGCTATTATGCCATTTGCGTAAAAATTCTTAACGCATTCTCTTATTTCCTTTCAATCTCTAATATCTCTCAATTTGTTATAGTGTTTTCTTTTTTAAATTTATTTATTCTTTTAGCTTTTACTATTTGACACATTTTGTTGTCAAATTTTAAAATAAGTAATTGTTATATTCGTGAAATCAATTTGGCATAATTTATTTTCAATTTTTATTTTATTAATTAATCAAATAATAATTTGAAAATGTATGCTAATGTGAGAGAAAAACGAAAATCTTAAAGCAAATTAGTTCACACTGATATTTCTTTTAAATTTTATAGCAAATTTTTATCAGTTTATCTAATTTAACTGAGGAAAAATTGTATTTCAAAATATTAATGTAAAATGAATTTTGAACTAATTCTTTGAAAGATATGTGATAAGAATATGATAAGAATATACTTTATCAGTATGATATGATTCAAGCTATTTAAGTTTTAAATCTAAAGAAAAAAGAAGATAGTAGTGTTACTTATCATTCGTATGTTATTTTGTATTGATATCTTTATAATCTAAATTCAAAATCTAAGTTTTATAATTTTGTAATCTTTATAATTTGTAATTTTAAATAAGTTTTCGCTTATTTTGCAAAGTTTTGTCCTAATCTTTTATCAGCTAATTTATCTATTATTATGATGATTTTATCTACTGTTATGATATTTTTTTATTTATCATTATGATGATTTTTTATCTATCTCTATGATGATTTTATCTATTGAATGTTTATTAACAAATATTATAATAGATATATAATAAATATTATAAAAAATAATAAATATAATAAATATTATACTAAAGATTATGCTAAAAAATAATACTTTTAAATTCATGTAATTTAGTGCACTTTTTAGCTTATATCAATTTCATTTTTCAAATTCAAATTAATTCTTTATGGTATTTTCTACATTTTAAACATTTTTTTTTTTTGCAATTTTTTTCGAAATAATTGGCAAATTTATTTATTTTAAAGAATATAGAAGTAATAAAATTACTTAATGAGTTACCATAAATAGTCTGAGAAAATTTTCGATAAATGTCAAATGGTATAATCATTAGTGTTTTGGAGGAAAAAATCTTCTACAATATCTGAATTAAACTATTATTATTAATTATTATTATATATTATTAATTATTTATTATTATTATTATTATATTATTATTTTATTATTATTATTATTATTATTATTATTATTATTATTATTATTATTATTTTATTATTATTATTATTATTATGACTGCATTTTTTGCTTTTTACTTATTTTTTAGTTTTTAAATTGTTGTTAAATTTTTCAAAATTAATTTGATTGTAACTTTAAAAAAATCCAAAATATTTTTTATTTTATTCATTGCCAGTTTTAGTTAATATTGAAACGGTTGTAATTGGTTGTGTTAAGTAAATTAATTGAGTATTTTATAATTATAATTTATCAGTGAAATTTGTGATCTTTATATTTTCTTATTTCTTCTTTTTTTTTTCTTTTTTGAACTTTGAATGTAACTTCAATTTTAGGTAATTATCAGTGAGATGGTTAAATCTAAATTAAAAAATAGGAAAGCAAAGGTAAATATTAATGAAATTCTTCGAATTGGTTCAATAATGGAACGTAATAATATTCAGCAGCGAAATAGAGTATGTTATAGTTATAATAATAATGATAACAGAGTATGTTATAGTTATAATTATCTATGATATAAATTTAAGAAAAAGTTAATTCTGGAAAATTTATTCTAATTCTTGTAAATTCAAAAAATATAAAATATGTGTATTTTGATACTTTGTTGATTTAAATTATTATTATTTTTGTTCTTGTTATTATTATTATTATCGTTGTTATTATTATTAATAATTATTATTATTAATTTATTGTTATTAATTATTATTATTATCATTATTATTATTATTACTATTATTATTATTGATTATTAGTATTTTTATTATTATTACTAGTTGTGGTAGCAATCCAAACTGCATATTTTGATATTTAACTAATTTAAATTGTTATTATTGGTTATGATAACAGTCAAAATTATTTTTTTTTTTTATAATACTGAAAGAAAATTTTCAAAATTTTTTCATTAATGCTTACTGAAAAATTATTTATCAATGTTGAATTAAATTATAGATTATGAATTAAAGACACTTTTGGAAAAATAATTTTAATGTTATGGAATTTCTTTCTTCTTTTTTTTATTTTTCAAGGAAGCATTTGATTGGTTAGCAGAGAATCGTGATCAAATGGATAGTAATCCAAAGAATTTTGCAAATCATTTAATTATTGCAGTTGGACAATTAGTAATAAGCAGAGATTTAATCAAAAATGTATGTAAATTTTTTAAACTTTAACTATTTATTAATTATAAAATGAAAATATTTGTCGTAAATTAAAAATTTATTAGGATTTTTATAAAAGTAATTACCTATTATTATTATTATTTTTTAATTACTATTATTTTTGCTCAAAATAATTTTTAATACTTTTATCTTTCATCTTATCGAATAAGCAAATGTAATTAATCACTATCATTCATTATCACCACCAATATTTGTCCTAAAATTTTATCATTTTAATTTTTAAATATCAAAATTCATGTTTGCAGTTTTTTTTAAACAAAAAAAAAAACTTAATTTAGGTCATGAAAAAATTGTTCAAAGATGAAATTATTACATCGAATGAGTATGAACGAAATTTTCAACGTTTTGAAAATTTATCTAATGAACAATTACCAACGGTGGTGCTTATTTCTAATATACTTCAAAAAAATTGTGCATACTTTCAAGCTGATGCAGTATAATAGTTTTAATTAAAAGTTGAAAATTGCTCTGTTTATTTCTTAATAAAGAATGTTTAGTAATTATTACAATTATTTGAATGTAGTAAATTAATTATTAACAAATAATAATTATTATTTTTTTTTTTTGCTTAATTTTAATTATTTGTTTATGGATATTTAATTATTGATTATTTGATAGGATAATTTTGCTTATTCTATCGATGCATCATAATTAAAACTAACTAATTGCTATTATTTATTATTGTTATATCATTATTCATCCTCCAAATTAGTGATATTTTTTTAAGTAATCATTTTGTTAATGATTTTATCAATAATTTAATTAATGGATGATAGATGTAAATGAATTAATTGAATAATTAATTGTCTAAAATTGGAATTCAAAGACTGATATTTTAAACTGCGTCATAATTAAATATAACATTGCATTTTCAAATAATTTCTGATTAATATTAGCTATAATTTTTGTTTCTTTTTTTTTTGATTTATTTTACATTTTTCTTTAATATACGTAAAAATTTAGAGCATTCAAAAATATGCAAATTATGATTTTTATTAAAAAGATTGTACTATGAAATGATTGAAAAAAGGAATATTTTATATTTATTGGATTGAAAATTCATTACATTGATTGAAATGAGAATTAACACTAAAAAATATTACAAATTAATGAAATTAATTTTGTTTGTTATAAAAAAATTTTATTTAATCAAAAAATAAAAAAAAATAAAAAGAAAATCTAATAAATGTGAAATAGAAATGTGATTTTAACGGAGCAAATAAAAGGTTATTGACATCATTTTTCGTTTTCTTTCTTTCTATCCTATATATTTCTAATTGAAATTAAAATTACTTCTAAACATTTCCAATCGTTCCCATTTATTTCTCTTTATTTTACTTCATTTTTTCAGTTTTTTTTTTTTTGAAATTAATTAAATTAATATAAAATAAATTAATAAGAATAATGTAATTAATAAAATAATGAATAATTTGCTGTAACTATTTACATAATTCTATCTTATTGATATTCTAATAATCTTTTAGTTCATTGAAATATTGCAAAAAAAAAAAAAAAAAATTAAAATAAAAATAAAATTTTCAAATTTTTGTTATTTCAAAAATATGAAAAAAGCAAAAGATAACATTTAGTGTTTATTGTTAAATATTTTTAAAAGTGTTCACTCATTCAATCATATAATATCGTAAATTTCGATTAATTAAACAGTTTACTTTACTTTTTAGAGTTAAATACTTTTTAGGAATTAATAGTAAGAAAATGCAGAAATATTTTGCAAATTTTAATTTCTTAATTTTATTTTAATTTTAATTGCACAATGACCAAAAATTAATCAAATTAGAAAATATAAAATAATTACTAAATTATATAGCAATTAATTAATCGCAATAATTTCTTTTAAAAAATATAAAATAATTATTAAATTAATTGGCAATTAATTGCAATAATTTCTTATGTTCAATATTAATTCAAAAAAAATTTTTTTTTAAAAAAATCCATTTTATTTACTTTTGTCATTTATTATTTATTACAATAAAATGAAAATTTTTATTTCATTTATTAGTAACTGTTATAAAAATAAAATTTGTAAATTTATTAAATTTTCTAATTGTTGAATTTGTATAAATATTTAATTTAATTATTACATACGGATGAGTATACTGGCAACACGGAAAGCAACCGTAATAGCAACCGGATGTTCAACAATATGCATTTTAAGTGTTGTAATTTTATTACCATTAATGCATTTTCGTAGCCAAGAAGTAATATCAACACTACTTTCACAGGTTGAATTATGCAAGGTATGTATAATATTAAAATTTATATTTGTAATATTCCTTTTTATTTAATTAATTAAAAAATTAGAATAATCGATTTAATAATAATTATGAATAAAATATATTTAATTCAGTTTGAAAAATTATTTTTTTTTTTACTCAAAATTTTACAATAAATTATTCTTTTATGTACTATAAAAAAAAAAAAAAAAAAAGAAAGCTTAAATAAAATTTAAGTAATCCGGAATTTGAAGTACTGTTAGATTTTGAAAAATAACAAAATTTCTTAAAAACTACTATCTATGAAATTTTAGTAAGAATTAAAAAGAAAACAAAAACTGTAAATATTTGTTTATGAAATGATAAACAAAAAAAAAAAAAATTCATATTAATTAAAAGAGAAATTGATTTTAAAAAAAAAAGGCAGAAATGAAATAATAATAGGAATATGAAATTATAATAATAATTAAAAATACTTCATCGAAGAAATGGAATATTTTATAAATTTTTTCTCATTCGGTAAAAAGAAAATAACACTTCAAGATTAAATGAATAAAATTAGATAATTTCAATATTTTATACTCTTTTTTTTTTTTTTCTAAAATTAAAATCTTATACAAAAATTACTCTTTTAATTAAAATCACATACAAAATTATTAATTTATTCATAAATTATTTAAAGGCTCAATCAGGTGATATTTGGAAGCAAATAGCTTTGGTTGGTAATAAAATTCGAAAATCTCGTTCTAACAATTTCAATTTACCTAGTACTTTTATAAATGATGCATGTTGTGCTTGTTCACAAGGATTGCCAGGACCTCGAGGATCACCTGGAAAAGATGGTATACCAGGTAATTACCACAAAATATGTATTCTCTTCTTTTCATGGTTTAATAATAATAATCGTTAATAATGAACATTAAATTTTTAAGTATACTGATATGTCAAAAATTTATATTTGATTTAAATTAATTAGCAAAAATATTATTAAAGTTTTAAAAAAAGTAAAATATCTTTTTTAAAAAAAATTTTTTTTTCATTAATTTAGATTGAGATGATAAAATTAAATTTAATGTGTGTTAGTATTTGAGTATTTAATTAATATTGCAGGAAAAAACGGTGAACCAGGTAAAGATGGTAGTAATGGACGTAACGGTGTATACCTTCCTGCTCCACCACCAGGCACAAATAGTTGTCAAAAAGTCAATTAAATTTTATTTTACAAAAAAATGTGACACTTTGATTTAATTCACTCAAATTAATAACAATGTTAATATTTTTATTAAATAAATTCAATATAAGAATATTTTAATGGAAAATTTCGAAGTAATTTTTTGTTTTTATTTTCATAAATTTTACAACTTCATTAGTGCAAGATAAAATTTCAGTGTCCACCAGGTGCACCAGGACCACCTGGTTTCCCGGGTCCAAAAGGAGAACGTGGCAAACCTGGACCACCTGGAAAAGCAGGAAAACCTGGAGAGCCAAATCGACCTGGACCACGAGGACCACCAGGACTTCGTGGGGAACCAGGACCTCCAGGACCGAAAGGACCAGAGGGTGATCGAGGTAGAGTATTAAATGGAGCACCACCTGGTCCAACAGGTCCACCAGGACGTATCGGTCCACGAGGAGCACCCGGTGGTAAAGGTAACAAAAAAAAAAAAGATTTTCAATTTTATTTTCAGTATTATATTTATAAACTATTCAAGTGATCTTTTCTCAACTGACCGACCATATTATACTAAAGTTTATGATATTCTATCTAAAGTTAATTTCTTAGGACATGATGGAAAAGCAGGTCAACCAGGGAATCAAGGTGTACGAGGTTCAGGCGGAGAAAGAGGACCTCCAGGAGATCCTGGACTACCAGGTCCACCAGGTGTACCAGGTGAACCTGGATTTCCTGGCAGTTGTTCACATTGTCCAGGTTTGTCATTGTATAAATCATTTCAGAATGCAACTTTAATTTATTTTTTTGAAAAAAAAAAAGAAATATTTAACAACAAATTTTACTTTCAGAATAAAATGTTCATTATTTGAACTTTGAACTTTTTTATTTGTTTATTTTTTTCATTTAAGGATTGATTCCAGTTGTTTCATCTAAAACATACACACAAAAACCATTGATATCATCGACACAATTAAATATTCCATCTGTGGAAATTTTACAAACTGCTGAAAATTCTTATCCAAGTTCAGTTCCAGAGCAAAATGATCGAGAATATTTGTGGATTTTGAAATAATTCATTTTTTAAACATAAACATATATATGTATATGAATAATAATTTAACATGTAATTTTATTAATGAAATATTAAATTTAATTATTTATGAATTATAAAATTGATGTGAAATTCTTTGATCTTTGTGATTGATAATGATAGTCTTTGAATTGATATACTGATATACCGGATCATCCTGATATGCTGCTAAATTATCTTCCAAGAAAACTGGAACTGGTACATCGTCCCATATAGCATGTCATTCCTGATGGACACATACCATGTGAACATGCTATAAATTTAAAATTGAATTATAATTTAGTTTAAAAAAATTTTAAGCTTAATTAAACATATTTAAAAAATGCACAATTTTACAAATTATAACGTTACAAATGACAGAAAAAAGAAGAAAACTTTGCAAAATATAAAAAAAATTTTTATGTTACAGATTTTTTCTTTTTTTATTATTATTATTATAAGTTATTTATTATTAATTATTTTCCTATTATTTGTTGTTTGTTTTTTTTTTTTTTTTTTTTTTTGGTAAAATAAAATTAATAATTCAATTGATTGTATTCATAGTAATAAAATTAAGAGATAAACATATACATCACAAATTATAGTTTTATATATTGTTCATTAAAAAAGTAATCATTTCAAAATGAATGGAAATATTTTAATGATTGATATTAGAAAAGATTTTTTTTTTTTTTAAGTGTTGAAAGAAAATCATACATAATACTAATTTGATTGTAAAATTAATTTCATTACGAAAAATTTTAATTTCATTTCAATTTTACTTGTTACTTTCTTAAAATAGTGTGTATTACTAATTAAAAAGCACATTTAATTATTAATACTAAAATCTATAACTAATTAAAAAGCAGAAGAAGAAATTTGAAAATATTAAAAATTTAACCAAAAGTTGATGTTAGAGCATTTCGAACACAAAATCCATTAATGCAGTAATAACCAACAGGACAAATTGCTCCAGTTGAACAAGCTAAAATTTTTTTTTAAAAAAAAGGGAAAAGAAAAAAAAAGATTGAAATTATACTTAAATATATTTTTTAAATTCATATTAATTTAGTTGTCGAGAAAATGTCGAGAAACATTTAATTTTTTTTTTTTTTCATTATTCTCTCGTTTTTTCTCTTGCAGCTTATTTTACCAATAATTTTAAAGATTAAAAATGTTAAAATTTATTTTTGAAATTATTTTTTTTCTTATTTTTTTTTTAAAAAAAAATTATTTAAAATACTTTTACTATTTTATTTTTAATATTTAACAATAATTTAAATGTTTTATACATATAAGCATTGGTTGATTACGACTTCCAATTTGTGCAGTATTACTTGGCAAGCAGAAACCATTAACGCATATTTGACCACTTGGACAATTCTCCGTTAAGCTGCATGTTTGTGTACCTAGAATTATTCTCTAATTCTTACTTAAGTAAATTTTACTGATTTTTTTTTTTTTGTAATGAAGAATTCTAAACTACTAATTTAAATATTAAATAAAATGTTACAATAGTAACAGTAATAGTAATATTAGTAATAGTAATAATCATAATAATAATAATAAAAGTAATAATAACAATAGTAATAGTAATAATAATAACAACAGTAATACTAATAATAATAATAATATTAGCAATAATGACAATAACAAGAATAACAATGATAGTGGTAATGACAGTAATAATGATGATAAAAATAATAATAACAAAAGTAATAAAACAATAATAATAACAACAATAGTAATAAAAACAATAATATTATAATATTAATATTAATAATAATAATATTAATAATAATAACAGTACGAATAATAATAATAGTAATAAATGAAATTTGAAAATATTTAGTATATTTAATTATTTATTGCTATGCAAATGAAAAATGATTAACAAATTTATGGATAAATAATTTGAAATGTTTAAAATTTGTTAAATATGACATTACCAAAGCTATATGACATTGTCCCATAAAAACAACCATCGTAGCGACAAATCTGACCGCTATAGCAATTAGCATTAGTTGTACATACTGCAACATATAAATAAATAGTATTTAAAAGTGTAACAATATTTAATGAATTTAGAACCGGAATTAAAAAACCGGAAGTAGAGTATAATTTGTAACTTAATAATTAAATTTTGAGTAATATATTTTAGTAATAGTTTTTTTTTTTTTTTTTTGAGTAATATATTTTGAAAATTTCATTTTTGTTTATTTCCTTTCTTTTTTTTTTTTTTAAATAATAATTAGTAAACAGTGTAGAAGTAGAAAAATATTTATAGAAATGAAAATTATTTGAATAATTTATAACTCTCTCTCTTTCTCTCCCTCTCTCTCTCTCTCTGTATTCCATTTCATATTTGATAAATAATCAAACTTTTAATTAATATAAATTATAATTTATTTGCTTTATGATTTTTCTCTAAGATATTTCAATAAGTTGAAAAAAAAAGTGTATTTATTCTTGAAATATATTATTTATTGAATTTTAATGCTAATAAAAACAAAATCCATTTAAAATTTTTATTTTTAATTAGTAATTTTTTTTTTTTTTTTTGTTTTAAATATATATACTAAAGTTTTATGTTCTAATTAATATTTTAAGTTATGTTTAAAATGTAATTAAAAAAATAAATAAATAAATAAAAACAAACATCGTCTATTTCCAGTAGGTATAAAACCTAACCGATTTGTATACCACGGATTTGCTACCAGTGATGGATTCATATTCTGATTAATTGGAAATGGAATGAAATTATTTGGAATTGTAATTGTGGTAGTGAGGAGAGGTGTATTGCTCCAACATACACCTTAAACTTTTAATTAGTATTTAATTATTATGTACATATTAATTTTTATGTATACATTTTAATTTTTTTATTATGTATGTATTAATTTAATTTAATTATTATTATTGTGCATTACTAGTCTATTAGTAATTCAGGATAAGTAAATTAATGTTAATGTTTTGTAACTAATGTATTAGCAACATTAATAATACAATAATATTATCATATTAGCATAGCAATGAAATTATTTCTCAAATAACAATATGAAATTCAAGTTAATCAAATTATCATTTTTACAATTGTAAAAGCACACTTTTCTTTTTCAATTTAAAAATTTTTTAAATTAATACTTTATTTTTTTTTCCATTATTTCATTTGCTTAAATAAATTATTTTTTTAAATAGTTTTAAAAATGATCAAAATTATAAACCATTTAAGCATTGTTGACCATATGGACAAGACATATAACGACACATATCCATTCCGTATCCGGAAAGCAACGGTAATGGCAAATTATTACTGTTTACTTCTTGACAATAAACAGGACTGCAAATGCTATCAGATTTAAATAAAAAAATTTTAGTAGTGATATTTAAATAAAAAGTAAAAGTAATTTAAATAAAAATAAAAAGTAATCAAAATTAGACATATTTAAAGTAGAAAAATTTTAATATATTTAAAAATGGATTAGTAAAATTAAAATATTTTAATATGCAAATTTTAAATTTCTCATTTTTATCATTTAAAAAAAAGAAAAAAATTATATGTTTATGCTAATAATTTTTCAAAAAAAAAAAAAAAAAAAATTGAATAAAAAACGATTGTATGCAAATGATTGGAAGAAACTCAATAAAATTTTTTATTTAAAATTTCGTTTGAAAAATTTTCGTTTTTTTTTAAAATAAATGTTTCATAAATAAATACAAAAATTCTAGTTTTTTAAAATTTGAAATAATTTAATGCAAGTATGACCTTCAATAGTATTATTTTACTATTTTATAATTTTAATCTTTTTTTTTTTCCTTTTTAACTGTTCAATATATTCCAAAATTTACAATTTTATCTTTTAGCAAAAAAAAAAAAAAATAGAAATAAAAAATTATTCTAATCAATTTTTATTATTCAACTAACAATTATCTATGAATTTAAATAATTAATTTCAAACATTTACTATTTTTTATTAAAATATCAAAAACTCACAAAATTCTCAACAAAAAGAAAAAAAAAAAATCATTCTAATTGATTTTTCTTGTTTACTAATGATAATCATTCGATTTCAGAGTTTGATAATTCTTTTCAAAATTTAATTTCCAAACATTTCCTACTTTATCAATATTTTCAATTTTTATTCGTTAGTGAAATAAAATAGATTTTTGGATTATTTTAAGGAATATTTTTAAACATTCAACATTTTATTAATCTAATAATTAATTATTAAATATTATTTCCAATTAATTATTAAATAATTGAAAAAAAAATAAATTGCACAGGTTGTTAAATTTTCTTTCTAATACTGAATTCTATTGAAAAAAAAAAAAAAAAATGTGAATTAACAAGAATTTCGACTTTTTCCCTCTTTTAGTTCATCAATCAATAAATTTTCAAAAAAAAAAAAAAAAAAAAAAGAAACAGGCTAGCAAATTTACAAAACAAAAATTTTTTTGTTATTTTCAACCTGTTTTTTTTTTTTTTTTTACATAAAAAGATTTTTAATTTTTAAAATTTCACAAAATTTTTTTGTTTTCTTCTTTGAAAAATTACTAAATGAATAGCTAGAAAATAGTTTTTGTTTAAAAACATTCATACATACAAGAAAAAGAAAAAAAAAATTGGCTAATTAAATTTTAAAAAAAAAAAATTTTTTTTTTTTAAGAAATATTAATTTAAAATTAAAATATAATAGCATTAATTTTGATAATACTATTAATGCTATTACCTAAAATTTTTTTGTAAAATTTTATTTGTGTTAAAATGTTTAACGCTATCATAATAATATATTTTAAAAATAAAAAAATTATTTTGAAAAAACAAAAAAAAAAAAAAAAAAAAAAAAACAAAAAGAAATTCAATTAAAACGAAAGAAATAATTTATTACTTTAAAAGTAAATATATAATTTATTTCATTCTTTTAATTTAAAAAAAAAAAATTATTACCTTAAATTGATGAAAAAACGGATGAAAAGCGGAAGTATCATATCTGTATAAGTGACAATAATTCGTTATGATACGTATGTATGTATGTTTGTGTATGTGTATGTGTGTATGTGTATGTGTGTTTATTACATACAATAATTAAATACAGGTAATAATTATCTGAGCAAACAGGTGAGAATAACTGTGATCATGGAACTAGCAATAAAAATGCATGCATAACACATCTTCTCTCGCTTAATCAAAAGTAATTGTCAACTTTCACTTCATTGTTATTATTGTTGACAAACATTTTTGGATTAGGATTTTATAAATTGTAAAATGAAAATTTTACAATTTTTGAATAAAATATAACAAAAGGGAGAGGAAGTGGAGGTGAAAAAAAAAAAAAAAAAAAGGATAATGATAATATCAAATGTAATTAATTGTTAATTGTGATCTATTATTATGTTAAAATTAATTGTTCTTTGTTTTTTTGTTTTTTTTGTTTTTTTCAAAGTAATTAAAATTTAATTTAATTAATAAAATTTTTGTATGAATTTTTATTTAATTTAATTAATAAATGTTTGTTTTTGTTTTCTTTTACTGTTATATTACAATCAAATGAACAATAATTATAAATTAATTAGAATTGATTAATTGAAATTGTCACATACTGGAACAAAATATTTTTTATTTGTTTATTTAGTTATTTTTTTTTTTTTTTTTTTGAATAGATTTTTAAGCTTAATAAATTACAAAAATGTTGTTAGAGAAATTCATCATTTTGTACCATTGAATTAAATCTTTTTTTTCGTTCTGAATTGAATTTTAACACAGTTTAATTTATTTTAACCATAATTTGTTTTAATATAATTAAGCTTAATTTTTTATTTATTCAAAAAATTAAATTTCAAACAATCCTATATTTATTATAAAAAAATTCATACGGATCGAAAATACAGGTACATTTATAAAAATTTGCAATTATAATAATTTTGATTACGAATTATTTTAGAAACAGTGATAATCGCTCAATTAATGCTATTAATTTCTTAATTTAAAAAAAAAAAAAAAAATTAAAATTCATTACAGTAAAATACTCATTTTTTAAAAAAAAGTGGAAGAAATTTTGAATTTCGTTCATAATTTTTTTTCATTTTTTCATTTTTCATTTTAATTATTTTCTATATATTTTAAGTAAACAACACGAAAGATAAAAAAATTACTATTTAAATATACTTATCAAAATTAATTACTCAAATTAAATATTTTAAAATACTATTTATATTAGATTTTATGCAATAAAAATTTAAGTTGAAAAATTTTAAAAATTGATTTAGGTCCTATTTTTTATGCTTCAAAAATTTCATAAAAAAAATGTTTAGAAATGTTAAAAAAAAAGAACTCAAAACTCCGAAATGATTTATTTTGAATTATAAAATTGCAATTAATCATAAAATATTCTAAAATATTAATTGCATTGAATTTTATTATTGAAAATAGATATTTGATATTTGTTATATTTGTATTTCAAAATATTATTATACACAAAATTTAATTTTTACAATTTGACTAATTAATTTTAATAAATTTAACTATCCTATGAATAGTAATAATAATATAATCCCACGTTATTAGTTCATTTTACAACTAATATGAATATTAGAAAATATTTTTTAAATTTTTTAATAAAAATTTTACTTCTCATAAATTAATCCAACATTTATTGAATTCAGTTTGAAATTAGTTTGAAATTAAAATATATTATTGCATTAATATTAAATGTTTTATTTACAACTTTTAAGTAAAAGTAAAATCAATGTTATACACATATACAAATGAATGATGCATGAAAAAAAAATGACAATTGAAAATTTTTTTTCAAATTTTTAATTAAAAATAAATTTTAATGATAAATTTTAATAATTTTAACTAAAAATCAATTTTAATAATCTTTAAAATTGATAATTTAATAAATAAATATTTTAATAAACAGATATTATCAGTATAACTACTAAAATTCATCAATGCAAATAGCAAATATACAATTAACATTTTGTAACAAATTCATTTGTTATTAAATTTAGTATAAATTTTATCATTTAAAAAAAAAAAAAAAAGAATAAATACAAAAAATAATTTATATTAATGAATTAATTAATTGTTGTAACATTTGGTGTTGGACATGATGGATGATTTTCTGTTCTGTGATTTGATCCAATTGATGTTTTGAAATGTTTTAATTCGATAAATAAACTACGATTCTTTTGTTCTAAATCTTTTAGCTGAAAAATTTAATTTTTTAAATTTGAAAAAAAAAAAAAAAAAAAAAAAACATTATCAATATATTTGATCATAAAATATTGGATTATCACTGAACTAACAAATAAATCTCATCGCAAATAAACAACAATCAGTTCAACTTTTAATTAATAATCAGATTTTATCAATTATTTTAATTGACGTTTTTTTTTTTTTTTTTTTTTTTATCAGTGATTTAATTAAATATTTAATTTTTTTGATATTTTCAAATTTTATTTATTCGATATTTTCATCATTTATAGTAACAAATTTTAGATCGCTTTATTCATTTATTTTTTTCTTTTTTTTTTGAAAAAAAAAAGAAAAGAAAAGAAAAAAGTAAAATTAATTGAAAAATTTAAGAAATTTTAAAATTGAATGGGAGGAATATTTCATTAAAAAAATTTAAACTTTAACAAAACCTTTAATTTTAATGTTGAATTTTCATTAAGATAATATTGAATTCTTTTTTCAAGCGCATTCATATATTCCTTACGTTTTCGACGACTTTCTTGCGCAGACAGCTAAAAAATTAATTCATTTTTACTAAAAATAAAGAGAAAAAAAAAATTCAAAAGAAAATATAAATTAAATTTGAAATCGAAGAAAAAAAAATATTAGAAAAAAAAAATTAATGAATGCATTTTATCATTTTAATTTTTTATATTATCTATTAATATTACTTTCATTTTCCATCAAAGTGTCAAATAATTTGATTTTTGAAAATTAAAATAAAATAAACAAAATTAATTTAGCATGTATTGTTGATAAGCGCATAATAAATTATCATTTAATGAATAAAAAAGTAAAAAAAAAAAAAAAAAAAAAAAAACACAAAGTTTCAGCAATATGTTTAAATTTAATTAATAAAATTAATTAATTAACAAATGAATTAAATTTAATTAATTCATAAACATTCAATGTTATTTATAATAATCAATAAAAGCATTTAATCAATGATTTCAACTTCTTTTTATAAAATGATTTAACCTTATTTTTAATTTTACGCCGAATAATTTTCAACGCATCTTCCTCAGATTTTGTTAAGGGTAAAACAGTGGGTAGTTTGTAACCTTCCTGAAGTAATGTTCGCTTCTCCTCCGATGACAAATGCAAAAATCCATAACCTTTTGGATCCTATAAATAACTTTTACAAATTTAAGCGATAAAATATTTTTATGTAAGTAATTTTAATAATTGAAAAATTTTTTTTTCATTTTTTTAAAAATAAGAAAATAAAAAATTTAAAAAAAAAAAAAAACGAAAAAAATACAATAAAGAAAATTTTATTTTACATTTGTATATAACAATTAATTTTGTAATTGCTAATATAATAAAAAAGAAAAAAGGTTAATAAATATTTTATAGATATCATTTGTAATTTATTCTTAATTTTACTTCAAATTACTTAATTATTAGTTTTTCCTAATTTTATTTATTTTTTTTTTAACCTTAATAAATTTGGATTAAAATAAATTCATATAATTTTTAAAATTTATTAATGAAAATTTGATGTTTTTCTTTTTTTTTTTTTTTTTTAAAAAAAAAAAGGAAATCAACTAGTTAAGTTATCGTTCATTCCAGAATTTTTTATCAATATTCATATATTTTATATAAAAATTCCAATATATCATTTTTTTTAAATCTTTTTTAAAAAAAATTTTTTTAATGAAAAATTAAAAAAAAAAAAAAAAAAATTGTTGCTTTAAATTTTTTTTTGGTTATAATTATTACAAAAGTTTTTTATTTAATAATAAATTTTTACTTAAATATTTAATCGAAAACAAAATAATAATAATTTGATGTAATTACTTGTTCAGTGATAAGTTTTTGTTTCACAGCCATTTCATGCATTTTTCGCCTTGTTTTAGCATATGCTTTTAATTCAACAAGACAATCTGCCTCGTCTAAAAATGACTGTCCAGTGGTAAATGATGAACGAAATATTCCTAAATTTAAAATAAATTAAATTATTTATTGTAAAATGATAATTTATTGAAACATTTCTCATTTTTTTTTTTTTTTTTATAATTTTATAAATTACAAAAATTTCTCAAAAATGCTTCATATAGTTGCCAAAAAGTTGTTTTTATATTAGTTGAAGCTGATTTAGTAAATAATAGTTTTAAAACTTACAAAAGTTTTTGTAAAAATTTATTTTTCCAACCAGAAAAACAGATATTAGCCAAAAAAATTGTTTTTTTATTTTATTTGAAAATGTATTAGTAAATAATAATTTTATAACTTATAAAAGTTTTCTCAAAAATGCTTCAAGTATGAGCCAAAAAGTTACTTTTATTTTACTTAATGATCGATTAGTGAAATAATGTGCTATTTTTTGAATTTCAAAAAATTTTAAAACAAATATATTTTACATCGTATAAATTAAATGTATACACTGTATATTTAAATAATTACAGTAATGATTAAAGTACTTTTTAAATTTATATTTTGTTAAAATTAATTCGTATTTAAATATGAGAAAAAAAAAGTGCTGAAAGATGTAATTAAACTTTTAGTTAAATTTGACAAATATTTAAGAAAAAATTTTTCATAAATTTATGAATGCCACAAAAATTTGCTAACTTTTGCAATTTGTATGAAAAAATTTCAACAATTCAGTATATATTCAAAATATTTCAATTAAATATTCAAAATTAAATAAATTAAACATTTTTTTTTTTTTTTTTTATAAGAAATGAAATGAATTGAAACATATATTTATGAATAATATATCATAGAAGCTAAAAATATTATATTATTAGCATTTAAAATTGCTTAAAGTAAAATTAAAAACAGAAAAAAAAAGTTAATAAGATTTTTTATTATCCAAAAAACAAAAAAGAAAAAAAAAATTAAATTTTGTGAAAACTGAAACAGTTTAAAATGGATTATCAAAATTTTTTTTTAGATTATTTTATACATCTAAATTAACTAATAATGGTGAAAAAATTAATTTTTTTTAATCAAACATATAAAAGTTAAATTATTCAGGAATCGAAATTATACATTAATTTGAGGAGATCTCAAGTTTAATTATTTAAATTTTATTTAAGTTTTAAAAATAAAAGAAAAAGAAAAAGCATTCAAACCATTGTTTTGATGTTCAAAAGATGATGAAGAATGTGAATTAGTCAAAGATAGCGTTTCCGATGCTAAAAATAAAATTTTCATTTGTTTTCATTTTAAAATATAAACTGAATGATAAAGAAGGTATGATACTTTTAAATGCATTTCAAAAACTATAAACAAGTAAATATGCCAACTTTTGATCTTTGCCGCTTAAATAGAATTGATAAAAAGCAATAGGAAATGATGGGAACGAATGAAAAATTACAATTGAAATTTAAATAAATAACAAAATAAAAACTCAGTTTAATTTAATATTTTGGAAATTGTTCGAAATGTTCAAATTATTTAACAAATAAAAATAAAATTCTTATCAGTTTTTCAAAATTGTAAAAAATGAAATTTAAAAAAAGCAAAACGAATTAAAGAATGAAAAAAGAAAAAAAAAAGTGAAAAACCACCAAACAAATAATATTTTTTCCTCTTTTCTCATCTAAAATTTGTGTATATTTTAATAAAAATTAAACTATTTATAAATTTCACTCATTTAAATTTAAGTGTAAGCTAATGAAAAATTACTCATTTAAATAAAAAGTAAATGTGAAACTAATAACTAAAATAATAACTAAAATTAAAAAACTTAAAATCAATAACTAAAATTAAAAATAAACAGTAAGAAACCAAAAAAAAAGCCATTTAAAAATTTCCATGTAAATATATCATATAATTGATTTATAAATTTCACTCACTAAATTAAATTTAATAAGTTAATGTTAAAATAATAACTAAAATTAAAAAATTTAAGTCAATAACTAAAATTAAAAATAAACAGTAAGAAACCAAAAAAAAAAAGAGACCATTTTAAAGCCATTTAAAAATTTCTTTGTAAATATATCATATAAATTTGTCACATTAATATTTATATGTTAAATTAATAATGATAAAAAAAAAAACGAATTAATAATTATTAAAAGGATACCAATCGGATAACTATTGTTTAATTCAATTTTAACATCAAGAAGATTTGATGCCATATTTAATTGCTCTTCCAATGCTTCCACATCCAAACTTATCGTATCATTATCACTGATAATATTTGCATATTGTGATATTGTTGTTTCATTTTTATTCGATTGAAATAAACAATGAGGTGCTTCATGATAATCGTTATCATAACGATTCAAATTATTGCAACAATCAGGAATTGATGAAATGAGACAGTCATCCTTGATAAAATCATTTTTGTTAATGATTTGACACCAATCTTCCTCGTCTATCTGATCCATTTCTTTTTTCTATTTTTTTGTTTTGATATCTGTAAAATTAACAAAAAAAAAAAAAATTTATAATTAATTATTACATTTGATCAATTTTTTATTTTTTTAGCTAAAACATTAAAGTGTTAAATGTTCAAATATTTTCTATTAATTGATTTTATCATAAATGTTTTTTTGTTTTGTTTTTGGAAAGTGATTTGAAAAAAAAAAAAAAAAAGAAGAGATTTTGATTAGATTTGAAATTAAAATTTAACATTAACAAAGTATGGAAATGTTAAATGATTAAATACCTTATGTTAAGGTTTCTATTAATTGATAAGTGATTAATTTTATAATAAATGATAATTTTCTTTGTATAACTAATTAGATTTGAAAATGAAATTTAAAAAGTTAGTAAAATATTGAAGTGTTAAATGGTTTAAATTGTTAATAGAGTAAACGTTTTGCAAAATATTTGTACTTCATCATAGCAAAGCAAAGCAATGTATGGTGACATTAAGTGGTGACGTGGTGACACAGTTGACAATAATTAATAAATATACAACAAATATATTTAGTAAACTAATTCGGATGAGCAAAAATTGTAGGAGAAAATTTCCTGCACTAAGAAGTATATATATATATATATATTTTTCTTTTCGTCAAAAATTTTTACTAAATTTATTTATTTCTTTCATTTTCTTCAGCTTTTTTTTTTTTTTTTTTTTCAAATTAAATTGTTTAAAGTTTTATTTCAATTATTCTATATTTATAATTTTTATTTCAAATTATTGACACTAATATTTTAATTAATTAGTAAAATTTCAATTCGTTTAAATAATTATCGCATAAAAAATATATATTTGTTTGTTTTTTTGTTTTGTATTTTTTTCACAAATTTACATTTTATATTAAAATTAGAATTACTGATTACTGTAGCAGTACGTTGAGAAAATAAATTTTATAGTTTTTAAGAAAGAAATTTTCATTTTTTTTTTTTTGTAGGAAATAGAATTTAATAATTATTAAAAAAAAAAAAAAAAGAAAATCAAAAAAATTTCATTTTTTCCCTTTTCTTATTTTTTTTTTTTTTTTTTGTTGAATGTCACCAAAAGAAAAGTATTAAAAAAAAAAAAAATTTTCTCTATGCATTTATTTATTTATTATTTATTTAATTTAATTACTTATTTAAATTCATCAATGATCAAAAGAAAATAAAATAACATAACAAGAGGATTTGCTATTCAATCATTAATTAACACATAATTACTGTAAATATTTTCAAATTAAATTTTTTTTTGTTTCAAAATTATTTTTAAACTAAAATAAATATTTTTCGATTCAATTCGATTCAATTCAAAAAAAAAAAGAGAGAAAAAATTAAAAATAATAAATTGTTTAAAAGTGAAATTGAACAAACAAAGAAATAATTTTAAAATGCTTCTTTTCTTCTTTTTTCTTTCTTTTTTTTTTTAAAAAAATAAATATGTATGTAATAGATTTTATAACAAATCTCATTAAACTCAATTTTGTTGGATAGAATGAAAGGAAAAAAAAAAAAATTTAACAAAAAGATTTGAAAAATTTTTCATAATTCTTTTCATTTTCGTTTTTATTATTATTATTATTATTGCTGTATAAAATGCACAATAGAAAAAAGAAAAGAATTGATAGAAAGAAAGAAAAACGATTTAGTTTTAATATTTTCTAAAAACTTTGGCATAAATAAATATAATATAATCATAAACTTTCGTACTATTTATGCATAATTTAAAAAACATTTTTATTTGATTTTTCCTTCTTTAAAAAAAAAAAAAAAAAAAGAATTCAACTAGCTGAGTCATCATCGTTCATTTCAAAATTTTTATCAATATTCATGTATTTTAGATAAAAATTCAAATATATATTATTTTTTTTTTTTTTTTTTGAAATCAATAAGTTATATCAAAAAAAATGTTCACTTAGAGTTGTTTTTTTTTTTTTTTTTTTTTTGTAAATAAGATGGAAAAAATAAAATAATATATATATGTAAATAAAAAAATGAAGATATAATAAAAAAGACAAAAAAAATAAGAAAAAATAGTTCCAATTAAAAAAAAAAAAAAAAAAAAAAAAAACGATATTTAGTTATAGTATGAAGAAATTTAAATATTATAGTTAATTTCATTCTCAATAATACACTTAAAGCAATAAAATATTATTAAATAATTATTAGTTAATTAAATTCAAATATTTATGATCATGACCATATATTTAGATAAAATTGAAATATACTATTTTTTTTTTTTTTTTTAAAATAAATAATATAAGTTATATCAAAAAATTTTTACCAGTATTCATATTCGTTTTTTTTTTTTTTTTTCATTAAATTTAAATTTAATCTCAAAATATTAAAAGTTTTAATTTGAGTGCTAAATTGAATTGAATAATTTAAAATGTATGCTAAATTTAGTGTTATCAAAAAATACAATAAGAAATGAAATGAATTGAATAATGTTCGCATTCCATCGAAATGTTAATAATTTATTATAAATATTACAAAAAAAATAAAGAAATAATTGAAATTCTGTTACATATTTAACAATTTCTAACATATAAATTTAGTAAATTTTAATTAAATATCATATATTACAGAGAAAATTGAATGTTAAGAAAAATTTGATGGTAATATTTATATTTTAGTGTTTGTAAATTGCATATCAGTGAATTGAATAAATATTATAAAATGTCGAGAAACAATGGGAAAATGACCCATAAGTCAGAAAATGCTGATAATTGACGATTGAAGAGTGATAAGGATCAAAAATAAGGTCGTTCCAGGCCATCTTATTTCTTCTTCTTATCATCTATTCATTTATAATAATCGAAATATTTAAGCAAATATTGTATTACTTCCATTATTAATGATTAATACAAATTACATTCAATAATAATAATAATAATAATAATAATAATAATAATAATAATAATAATAATGGTAAAATAACAATAAAAAATTATATATTATGATAATTTTATTGCATCTGCATGGATGAACAAAATAAAATGCTCAGATAAGCAAATGTGTATATTATTTTTATTTCCTACTATAATGTAAAACAAATTTAAGGTGCAAAATTTTCATATAATTATTAGTTTTTATATATAAATTCAACGATATAACACATTAATCCAGCAATTCGCTCTGAAATTTTCCTTTTTTTTTTTTTTCTAATGTTATTTCTCACTTAGAAAAGAGTAAATATTAATTTAAATTGCAAATGATTAGTTAATATTACTTATATATTTTATTTTAAATTTTAATTTGAGAAGAAATTGATGTAATTCTGCAAGCAGTGAATGCAGCTGTATGTTTCAAAAGAGATAATGTTAAGTATAATTTCTTACTTATCGTTGGCCGATGAGTAAGTATACCTGTCTGTATGTCACCTGGCTAATGAATACCTGTCACAGGTATATTGGTAGCATATAGCACATATAAATAAAATTCAATGATAAATTTTTATTTCCTCAGCAAACTAACTTATAATGCATAACAAAAGCTAAAAATGTGTCAAAATTATTTGCAAAAATTAATTTTCGTCTGTTAACTTTCAAATATGTCATTGAATACTGTTTCTGTGTGCAATTTAAATCACAAATAAATTTCACTCATTTGCTTGCAGATTGCAGAATTGTAAATGCACGATGCATGCATGCATGCATCAATCAATGATATTTCATTTATCTCTTAGTCTACTTCTATCCTAAAAAAATTGTAAATTGCAATAAATCTAAAGTAATTCATTACTACCTTAAGAAATAATTTGAACTGCTGAAAAAGAAAAAGAAAAAAAGGATTAGAAATTATATTACACTTTTGATACCATCCAAAATTTGGCTTTAAAAATTAGCCTAGTATAATCAATGAATTTAGGCTCAAAAATAGATTCGAGATCAAAATGGCACATAAATTATAGCAAAGATGCTGTAATAATCGATTGAAGTAATAATTTAAAATTTTAAATGGAAATTAATACTTACATATACTAGTCATTCTGTTTAATACTTTTATGTATTTTAATTAAAAGAACTGATATGCTATCAAATTTTAAAAATAAAAAACTTTGATTTCATTTCAAAAAAAAGACTAATCTTTTCTCAAGCATTTCCAAATTTCATTTTTATATGCCTAACGAGCATGAATCAAACAATTTAGTAATTTCCCACAATTGAATAAAAATACTTCCATGCAAACATTTAAATAACTCATTAACTCTGCCAAAATTATTTTATGAAAATTTATTCTCTTATAATAATTAACGTTATTTTTTTATATTTATTCTTTTATAATAATAATAATTAATTAACTATTTTATACTGCATATCAAAAATCTTTGTTTTTATTTAAAAAAAAAAAGAAAAAAAAGGGAGAGAAAATTGAAGTGTAATCAAAACTTTTTTGCTGTATTTTTAAGTTAAAATTTAAAAATTAAAAAACAAAAATCGGCAAATATAACATTTCGTTGTGATGAATAAAAAAAAAAAAAAAAAAGAAAAGATAACAATTTCGACAACGATGGTTTAGCTTAAAATTAAAATATAAGTCTGAATTTTACAATTTATACAATTTCAGTAAAAGTAATGAAGCATATGTTAATTTTGATTGATTAATGATTATTTTTCATTTTATTGAAAATTTAAAGTATTTATTTTATTTGAAACATTTTGTATACCAATTCAACCAAACTGATGAAAGAAATTTTTTTTCTTTGTTTTATTTTCTTATAAAATTCAACGAATAATTTAAATATGGTGCTTATCATTAAAATCGAGAAATGCTTTCCATTTTTTTTTTTTTTTTTTTTTTTAATAAAACAAAAATGGAAGAGAACGTAAATGAAATTATATATAAAATATATTGAATTAAAAAATTTTTTTAATTTAATTTAGAACTGTTAATTAATTATTTCATTTGTTCAATAATAATACATTAAATTTTAGCTTTATATCATTTTGATGATAATAACATTGAAAAAAATTTATAAAAG